TTCCATTATTTGGGTTTTCATCAACCAACGGAAAAAGGAAGAAAATAGATTATGAAATACCATTAACTTTGAAATTAATTTTTCAAAAAAAATTTACATATAAAATGAATACTTAATATGTGATTCAGAGGAGTAATAAAAAAATAGTACTAGACTTTGGGACAGTAAAAAGAGTCAAACCTGGCAAATTATCAGCCTTCTCTGAGGACTAGGGCAAAAGTTATAGGAATTTACGAGGGAAGTTCTTCCCACTTACTGTACCACATTTCCCCTAGAGTCTTTAGGGAGGACTCTGTTGGTGGAATTTCCAGCATTAAACAGGCTGGTAGGGAAGATATCCAGGGTCCTCCATCTCACCACGTGGGTAACTTATTCCCCTACCCTGCCTGGTGAGCATGATTCTGCAATGCTCTAGGATCCCATGTTCTCCCATGGTCCTTACACCTCCCAGCAGGGTGACTTGGATCTATTTCTCCCCCTTTGCCAGTTACATTTGCTCTTTTATGCTTGTTATCAGGAGACTCACCAGTGGCAAACACAACTGTTCAACTCTCTTTTGGCCAACTCTCTTCTCCACACCACTTGAAAAGCCTCTTTGGGGAGCCATGTCGCCCTGCGCTCTGAGTGGCACTTTACGGATCAGAGGATGGCTTTTCCTTGTGTGATCCATACACTGTAGTGAGTGCCAGAATGTCCTTCCACTGTTCCTTGCGTGTCCTTTGTGTTGTGGTGCATGCCAGGATATCCTTCTGCTGCTTCCCTGTATGCCCTATGCATGGTGTGTGCCAGGATGTCCTTCTACTGCTCTGCCACTTCCGATTCCTCCACTACATCAGGTGACAACTTTGATGGTGTTTCTCTGCTGGTTCTTCCCGCTCTACCTCTCTGGTTGCTTCTTCTTTGTCTATTCTGCAGGATTTTCTGCCTTCACACTCCTCTTCAGAGAAATTAATTTGGCTTGAACCACTGTGTACAACTCAGCTGACTATTTTGACTTGTCATAGAGCTAGTCTGAGAGCATCGTTCCTAGAAGACGATGTTGCTGGACCATGGTGCCCACAACTGCATCACTGTAAATATATGGAAAGTACATGGCTATGAATGTCCCCATCTGATTCCAGTGCATCCTTTTTTGGTTGTTTTGAACAAAAAGTATTTAAATGCCTCAACATTTGGGTACTTATGCCATCAAATGAAGACAATGTGGAAACTTAGGAAGAAAATGACTGTGTGTAGCAGGCAAAAAAAGAAAACAGGCTTAGAGGGACAAGATAGAACCACCACACTTGTCTTAGTCATCTATGCTGCTATAACAAAAATACCGCAAGTGGATAGTTTTAACAAAGAGAAGTTTATTTCCTTACAGTAAAGTAGGCTAAAAGTCCAAATTCAAGGCATCAGCTCCAGGGTAGGGCTTTTTCTCTCTGTCAGCCTTCTTCTGTTCAGTGTTCCCCCAGACTAGGAGCTTCTCTGCACAGGGACCCCAGTCTAAAGGACGCTCTCTGCTCCCGGCACTGCTTTTTTGATGGTATGAGGTCCCCCTGTCTCTCTGCTCACTTCTGTCTTTTATATCTCAAGACATTGCCTCAGGATACAATCTAATCTTGTAGACTGAGTCCTGCCTTACTAACATAACTGCCTTCCAGCCTCCCTCATTAACATCATAGAGGCAGGATTTGCAACTTATAGGAAAACCACACAATACCAGGAATCATGGTCTGGCCAAATTGATACACACATTTTTTGGAGGACATAATTCAATCCATGACAACACTATAGGAAGGAAAATGTTGTCTGAAAGCATTGCACGGCTGTAAATGAATTGTAACTAAACCAAACCCATTGCCGTTGAGTAGATTCCGACTCATAGTGACCCTATAGGACAGTGTAGAACTGCCCCATCGGGCTTCCAAGGAGCACTTGGTGGATTCAAACTGCCAGCTTTTGGTTAGCAGCCGAACTCTTAACCACTAGGGGGGTTTTATTACTGAGAATGGCTGAGAAGCGTAGTCTTCTAGGAAATTACAGAAGTGGGTAAAGCAGTACACTGTAGGAATCATCACCATATAGAAAGAAAAGGCTGACTGAAAGCTTTGCATTGCTGTAAATGAAAAACCAAAACCCATTGCCATCAAGTTGATTCTGACTTATAGCAACCCTATAGGACAGAGTAAAACTGCCCCATAGGGTTTCCAAAGAGTGGCTGGTGGATTCGAATTGCCCACCTTTTGGTTAGCAGCCATAACTCTTAACCACTGTGCCACCGGGGCTCCATAAATGAATAAGGGGAGGGTTGGGGTGGTTATGACTGAGAATGGCTGAAGAGAGCACTCTTCTAGGAAATTACAGAGGTAGGTAAAGCAGTAGAACACCCATGTGCCTGAGAATCCTAGGGGAAAACATTTGCATCCCACTAAGCCCTCACCTCCACCCCTCGTCTGTCAGTTTGCTGTACTGTGGTGACTTGCGTGTTGCTATGATACTGGAAGCTATGCCACTGGCATTTCACATACCAGCAGGGTCACCCATGGTGGACAGGTTTCAGCAGAACTTCCAGACTAAGACAGACTGGGAAGAAGGAGCCGGCTATCTACTTCTGAAAAAATTGGCCAGTGAAAACCTTATGGATAGCAGTGAAACATTGTCTAATGAGCTCCTCAAGATATGACTGGGGAAGAGTTGCCTTCTCAAAGTAGAGTCGACCTTAATGACATAGATGGAATAAGCTTTCGTGACCTTCATTTGCTGATGTGGCATGACTCAAAATGAGAGGAAACAATGTATAAGGAAGACTAAAGAAGAATTGATGCCTTTGACGAGATCGGGCGCGTTCAGGGTGGTATGGCCGTAGACAGAATTGATGCCTTTGAATTATGATGTTGTTGAAGAATACTGAATATACCATGGACAGCCAGAAGATTCAACAAATCTCTCTTGGAAGAAGTACAGCCAGAATGCTCCTTAGATGAGAAAGTCTCATGTACTTTGGACATGTTATCAGGAGGGCCCAGTCCCTGGAAAAGGACATCAGGCTTGGTAAAGTAGAGCATCAGTGGAAGAAAACGAAGGCCCTCAAGGAGATGGATTGACACAGTGGCTGCAGCGATGGCTCACATATAGCAATGACTGTGAGGTTGGCACAGGACCGGGCAGTGTTTCATACTGTTGTACATTGGGTCACTATGAGTTGGAACCAACTTGACAGCATCTAACAACAACAAGCACTCAACTACTAGCCACAAGGTTGTTGGTTCAAGCCCACCCAGATGCACTTTGGAAGACAGGCCTGTGATTTGCTTCCAAAAGGTAAGCCATGAAAACCGTATGAAGCAGTTCTACTCTGCGCACGTGGGGTCACCATGAGTCAGAACGACTCAAGGGCAACTAACAACAACAGCGCAGTACATCTGCCTGTTTCTTTCTTAAAGTTTTCAGTTTGGATTTTTTCATTTTGCTTTTATCTTACTTCATAAATCTGCCCATTACTGCACTGGTAGAAACCATATACTTTTGCTCAGTGCTGCATTATTTTGTTATGGAGGCACTCCCAGGACGCCTGAGTCCTTTTTTTCCTTTAATTTACTCATCAGTTTTTTCCTCACTTGCTCTACCATATCTAATGGGGCAACACTTTATAGTTATTACGTTCCAGTGGGCCCCTTTGTCCAAAAAAATTAACAATTGTATTTCATGACTGAATTGTTGTAAAGACAAATACATTAATATTAAATTTTAAATGATTTTATTTAACCTAAGAGTTCATTTTTTCTTTTTGCTTCTGATTTTTTCTTTTTGCTTCTGATTTTAGAAAAAAATTAAAACATTTCAAGGATCCCTGAAAGTATTTTGAAGCTTTTATCAACCAGATATTTAGGGTATGAGTTCTATAGACAAACACAAAGTCCAAGGTAACACCTTCAGAACTACCAGAAAAGTGGTGACTTCTTACACAATTTAAAACATTCCAAGCCCCATCTCTCTGTAAGTTTCCCTTCTTCACTATCTACCTGTGAATGAGTTCCTCTAGCTCCATCCTTGTTTTCAAGGACAACCATTTGATGTGCGAGAGATGAAGAAGTTCAGGTTATTGCATGTCATTGGCAAGCCCTAAAGCCTGATGCAAGTTTATTGATCATGATTTCTAGTTGGGTTGTATTGTTGGAAATAGTAAAGTTATTTCAGATTTTTTTCTAGAGATGAGGGGAAAAATAACTAAATTTTAATAAGCAATAGTTCATATAGTTAACTTCTTGCAGCCAAGGTCTTCGAAGGTGTCTTTCTGACCCCCACTTAGTGCTACTTGAGGTCCTCACTAACGTCCCCAGTGCACTGTGCTGTGCTTGCCACTGTGTCTGATTCCCCTCTGTGGCAGCTGGATGCTTGGAGCCTATGGGAAAGGGTCACATCCTACCAGCCGGTCATCTTTACCAGGGCAGGCACGAAACGAATGAGAGAATCAAATCTAACTGCTTCTGCCTCTGCAGATTTATCCCTTGGAATATCAACCTAACTGTGGTTTTCCCAGCCCCAAAGGCAGGCTGGGTACAGGCACGGGGCTGGGGGGGAAAAGGGGGAGGAGGTGGAAGGGCCCTGCCGGCAGTCAGTGTCAGCCCCGGGACCCCTTGGCACCCCGGATGGCTGTCCTTCCCTGGTGGAGGACAACCTTTCAACATCCAAGGTGGGGAGCTAAGCTGGGTGTTTCCGCATGTTTTCCTCTTAGTCTTTTCGATCCATTCATTGTGGGGAATGTGTCAGCACGTGGTGGCAGCAAACTGAGTCAAGGTAGGAATCAGATGGAATCTGTTTTCCTCCTAAAGTTGCTTGTAAGAATTAGTTTTTCAACTTGGAAGAAAAAACAAACCTTAAGCTTTTCAAAATCCTAGATGGGGCACATTCTCTCCAAGCCTGGGTGCAGGCACCCCCCTCACCTTGGTACCCCCCTACGTCTGCCTCAGCTTGCCCTGTCGCTTGTACTGTCTCACCCCTTTTTGCACTTACAGGGCCTGGACTTTGCAGGATTCACAGCACACATGTTTGTGGGGATCTGCCTCGTCCTCCTGGTCTCCTTCCCCTTCCTCCGACTCCTGTACTGGAACAAAAAGCTTTACAACAAAGAGCCCAGCGAGATCGTGGGTGAGTATCAGCCCCTCTTCACTCTTCCTCAGAGCTCACTGCCATAACCTTATGTTTCCGGGGCAAGTTCTCACAGAAAGGCGGGAGGAGTCACTGCCCTCAGAACATTGGGAGGTGTGGGCTGTTGGGATGCTGCGCACTCTGTCCACAGTGCGTTTGGGAGTTTAAATTCATGAGCCATGTCTCTGCAGTTCTCTATCAAGTGAGATGGGGGAAGTGATGGCCCCTCTATCAATTGAAATACCATGGCATCATAAAAACACAGCCTACAATGCAAATAACACCTCTACTATAGCTGTCTAGTATCTTGTAGTAGTTTGAGCATTAAATGTGCTTACAAAATTGGTAACATAATCCTGTCCTTGTCAATCAAAAGCACTTTGTGGAGGCACCAGCCAGCAAGAGGAATTGCAACGATCTTATTGCTTTGTATTTTCCTCATAAACATTTAAGTAGACATTTTACCGAGAAGAGTATTGATTCAGCTACATTAGGAGAACTAGATTAGCTGGGAAACGGTGGCCACTCTTGTGGAGGTCCAGATGTGGGTGCTGTGAGGGTTGCCAGCTGCGTCTGGATTGGCTGACGCAGGTGATGAGATGCTTTTCCTCTCTCTGGAACTTGGTGTGGAGTGGCTGACTGGTGTCCTCAGCAATCCTGAGAATCTATAGAGCTCATAGATTTTATTTTTATCTCTCTCATCCCATGTTGTTCTTCTAACCTTGTGTTTTACAGTTTTTCTTTATTTTTAATAAGATAATCAAATTCCAGTTCAGTCTGAATAGATGGAGAGTTGAGTATGTTCTTGTCAACTCTCAGATTGTCAGGAGGTGATTATGTGAGATTTTCCTTCCTTTCATGTGTGACTTTCACCTTATTCAGAGTTTGAGTATTTTTGTTCTAGTTATGAAAACATTATTTAGTCCGTGCTACCAGAAAAATGGGATGGTAAGCAAAACTTGCTATTTTAGGCAGTATTTAATGATCAAATACACAAAAAATTGGACTGCCCTTGTGGATATAAAGGAGTCCCTGTGTGGCTCAAATGATTAATACACTGGGCTGCTAACCAAAAGATTGGTGGGAAAGGTTGGTGGTTCGAGTCCACCCAGGTCTGAGTCCATCCAGAGATGCCACAGAAGAAAGGCCTGGCAATCTGCTTCTGAAAAATCAGCCACTGGAAACCCTGTGGAGTATAGTTCTACTCTGACACGCATGGGTTGCCTTGAGTAGGAATCACTGAATGGCAATTTGTTGTTTTTTTCTAATTTTTTCTTTTTCTGTGTGTGTAGAAGGAAAAATGGTACTTTTTAAAAAAAAATTTTTAAATTGTACTTCAGGTAAAGGTTTATAGAACAAATAGATTCTCATGAAACAGTAGTACACATATTGTTTTACGACATTGGTTAACAACCCCACAACATGTCAACCCTCTCCCTTCTTGACCTTTTTTTTTCTCTTTTTTTTGGTGAAAATATACATAGCCAAAGATACACCATTTCAAAAATTTCTACATGCACAGTTCAGTGACATCGACTACACTCTTACAGTTGGGCTGCTATTCTCACTTTAGATGAAGGTTTACAGAACAAAATAGTTTCTCATTAAACAGTTACTACACATGTTGCCCTATGAGGTTAACAACCTCACAACACATCAACCCTATCCTTACTCAACCTTGGGTTCCCTATCACCAGCTTCCTTGTCCCCTTCTGTGAATCTGGAAAAGTTTGTGGTCTCTAGTAAAAAACTAATAAAGTTCAGACCTCCTGAAATATTTTTAAAATAACAGTTTATTTGTTGAAGATTTCCCTCTGTCATTCCTACACTGACCCAAAGGGAAACTCATGTACACGGGATAGCTGTTATGAGAGAGAATCCAGACTCTCAGGAAGAGAAGCCTTTGATAGACAAAAATTAGAAGCTGGGCACTTCAGCTATGAAGCTTTCCTTCACATTAATTTCTTAATGTCACCTCAGTTAATCTCAGCATGAAGCCGGGTTTCCATCAGCAGCCTCTCAGGAAGTGTTTAGAGCCTGCCTCCCATTCAAGTCACCTAGTTCTGAAAAAGATGCCGAGGTCACAGAAACAGAAATTGCTGAAGCTACCTACATTGACCCCAGGGAGGATGTAGCAGGGGGCCATTTCTCTCCTTAATCTTTGATTCTGAAATACCTTGAAATGTGTGTTGGGAGAGCTTTGTGAACCAGCTGCATATCCGACAGGTCCGCTGCTGGCTGGCACCTAGATGGGCTTAATTGCTGCCTTTATTCCTGGTGTCTCTCAGGCACTCTAGAGTAGCATATTTGGGAGAGGTCAGCTCAGTGGCCTCATGTGGAGACTTCCTTTCATGAATTTTAGAAGATTTGTTCAACCCTGCCTCAAACAAAGGATTGGAGCCTTAGGGTTTCACCTTGAAATCTTATCTGCAGCACTTTGGGGTGAAAGTGATTTCTGGGCACTGGGATGAGTTATTGCCAGAAGTGGGGACTGACTTGTTGTGGGACCAGTGCTTAGAGAGTGCTCTGTCCTAGCTGGACCTAAGACCTAGCTGGTGTGTTCTCTCTGGCGTCACTCACTGCCCCTGGCTGCCATGCCTTTGTCTGCATTGGGGAAAGTAGATAAAAAATAAACCAAACGTGAATAAAATATATTAAAATATAGAGAACCCGTGGCTGCTAATATACCAAGACATGCATGGTCCCTCTGGTGACCGTGAGCAGTGTCTTCATCTACTGAACTTTCTCTGCCTTGGAATTCAACTTATTGAGCTCATTACTTGCCCTTGACTCTGTCAGTGCAAAGCCTCCCTTACCCTGCATGTTTATGAAGGAAGGAGCAGGTCTTTGATCTTTGCACAGAGCCCTGGCAGCATCTCTGTGGGTGCCAGAAGGCAGGCTTCTGAAAAAGCTTATGAGAAGTGCACATCTGGTGGGAGAGCTCACCCATCTGCAGAAGAAACCGCCACAAGCAATACCCTGCAAGTGGGTGGCTGCAGCATGTGAAGAAGAAAGCCCCATCCTTGTCTGGATGACTGGGACCCTGGGGGAGAGTGCCTGACCTTCAGGGGAATTCATCTAAGCCTGTAGGTTCATCAGTGTACCCCAATATACTCCATTAGTAGAAAGGATGTGTTAAGAGAAGAGGGAAGGTCATACTCCAATTTAGAAAGATGACCGAAGAGCCATGCTTTTTCCAGTAGGTCTTCTTCACTGGCCAGGATCCTCATCCTGGTTGTAGCCCCTCCTTTGTGCACCGCAGTGTTATTCCCCATTGAATAGACTTTGTCTTCCTTCTTTGACTGTGAGTTTATTGATGACTAGAATAGTACCTTCCTTGTTTTTGTCTCCTCCATGATGAGCACTATGTTATACAAATCATAAGCCTCTTCGAAATGCATGTAGAGCTGAGTAAATGGAAGTTCTGTGGTCCCCATGGTCAGCTTGTCCCCTAGTGACAATGAGTGCATCAGGCCATTAGGATTATCCAGGGAAATCTCCTTCGCTCTGAGTCCATGCTTAGCAAGCAACCGTTTTAGTGTTGTTTTCTAACTAGATTTGCCTACGAGAAAACAAAAAAAACCCATTGCTGATGAGTTGATTCCAACTCATGGCGACCCAGTGTGTTACAGAGTAGAACTGCGTTTTATTGGCTTTAATCTTTACAGAAGCAAATCTCCAGGCCTTTCTTCTGTGGTGGTGCTGGATGGACTTGAACCACCAACCACTTGTGTCACCCAGGGAACTTAGATTTGCCTATAGGGAGAGAAAATATTAACTGTGTATGCAAGTAGTTCGATTTCCAGGCTTATTCTAGTACTTAACATAGTAGATTGATGGGCTCTCTGGTGTATACATCAGCCTCTTGTGAGTTTGCACAGTGTGGTCATTCTATTTGAGCCCATTATGCATGCCTAATGAAGTATGAGCCCTTGATTCATGGAATTACATTGCTTGCTTTCACCTTGTGAGGCCCAAGCCATTTGATTCTAAATTGTGTAAAAACAAATGTTTTTCTCTCCTGGAATTTTGTTGTTTATGTTTCCTTAGGTCTATAGATAAATAAATAAAAGCATCAGATCTTGTATATGAATAGCCTGTGTTTTATTTACCAATTCTATCTTTAAGGTAATGAGGCTCTTGATGTGACTGTCTGTGAAATGTTGCTCTAGATAAATCTCTGCGACACATTTTCCCCATGGCGATTCTCCTATTGCTGGTCTTTGGGATACTGTCTTAGTTTACCTAGTGCTGCTATAACAGAAATACCACAAGTGGCTGGCTTTAGCAAGAGAAATTTATTTCCTCACAGTAAAGTAGGCTAAAAGTCCAAATTCAGGGTGTCAGCTCCAGGGGAAGGCTTTCTCTCTCTGTCAGCTCTGGAGAAAGTTCCTTCTCATCAATCTTCCTCTGGACTAGGAGCTTCTCCACACAGGAACCCCGAGTGCAAAAGATGCACGCTGCTCACAGCACTGCTTTCTTGGTGGTATGAGGTCCCCGTCTCTCTGCTCGCTTCTCTCTTTTATATCTCCAAAGAAACCAGCTCAAGACACAGTCCAACCCTGTGGATTGAGTCCTGCCTCATCAATACAACTGCCTCATTAACATCACAGAGGCAGGATTTACAACACATAGGAAAATCACATCAGATGACAAAATGGTGGATAATCACAAAATACCGGGAATCATGGCCCAGCCAAATTGATACACACATTTTTTGGGGGGACACAGTTAAATCCATGACAGATACCTTGTGTGTTGCAAGAACTTACCTCCTTGTTTGCTCTTTCCACTGCCATCCACTCTTGCCTCCCTAATATACAACACCTAATACCTCCATAGGTGGGAACTGAGTAGATGCTATTTGTCAAATGCCTCTAAATTGGACCACTAAATATCTCTTCTTGTCTAGACTTCACTCTGGCATCAACTGCCAGAATTTCACAGAGTTAGAGGAGAGGATGGTTAATAGTACAAATTTTGGTTAGGTACTTCCTTTA